CGGTGGCCGGTGTCCGCCCTCTGCGCCCGCCGGCTCACAGTCCTCGACCCTGCGCCCCTGCGCCCGGGCTCGCAGGTCACAGCCCTCGTCCACGGGCGGGAAGCGCCCGTATAATCCGTCCTCACCTCCACCCCCGCTGGCTTGAGGTCCCCCTGCCCTGTCACGCCTGTGCTAGAGCGACTTTGGGGACTTGTGAAAATACACGTCCCGATTTCTTTGCATTCGTGTGTGCCCGAGGGCGATATGTAACACCCCGGGCTTTCCTCAGCAAGGTGAAGATGCTGGGGAAGCCGTGGTCGTAGCTGTGTAACAGCCGGGGCTGCGCTTGGCATGGCTGAGCGTCAGCCGCGATTTCACGACTGCCCCACGGCCCTGGGCTGTGGAGCGCTCGGGCTGTTTTGTACTCACCTCAGTTGTCACCCTTGGAGCCTTTCCTTATTCCAAGTTTAGCTTATGTGACTCGAGAGTTATTTTCTACATGTTTGTAAAATATTTATCCTGAAGTATTACATTTTATTATAATCATTTTATTCATATAGCAATCTCTCCTTTAATAATAATAGCTCCGTTTATGAATGGGTTTATTTGCCAAACACTTTATCATATTCTTTCTTTTTTTTAAAGGTTTTTCCCATAGGCCATGTGTGCTCCCAGGAGAGAGTGAGAGGGAAAGTGAGAAGTCACCCTGCTCCCAGGTGAGAGTGAGAGGGAAAGTGAGAAGTCACCCCACACACAGACACCTGCACCCCCCTCATCCTCCCGTGAATAGGGGCTGGGGAGGGGATGGCCACACCACAATCTCTTCTCCTCCATTCTCTTCCTGTGACTTTGGACACACACACACCTGGTATGATTTTCCAACCACCAGGTCTGAAACTTGAACCACAGTCAGCCGTGTGGAAGTCCAGTGCCTTAACTACTATGCCACCTGCTGGCCCAAATATCAGTTCATTTAATTTGCATGATCGCCCTGTGAGGTTGGGATTGTTTATCCCCACGTAATTGTTTATGAAACAGACACTGATATGATTAAGTAACTTATGTTAGAGAATCAGTAAAGAAGAAGAATCAGGAACCCACACTGTCAACTAATAACGTTTAGGCTGAGAGTTAACACTGAGACTGTCTTAAGGGGTCTTCAATTCAGTTGTCACTGTGAAAGTTCGTCAGCATCTAAACTGAGTCATTTGTGTCAGCCAGAGCTTAAACCCTAACTAACCCCAGCAGTGCACTAGAGAGGAGCTATATTCTCACTAGTGTGCCTGATAGCAGGAGCTGCTGCAGGTGCCCTTGCCAGAACCACACCTGGATGCTGAAGACCACTGCAGCCTGACACGAGGGTGCCTTCTGCAAAGACTTTTGCCCAGAGACTTGCCTGTCCCACCTTGTTCTGATACCACTCTTGCTATTGATGGGTAGCCCAGGATAACTGACCCAGAACAGCTGGTACAGGCTCCTCTCAGCTCCCCCCCCCCAGTGGTGGTTCTTGCCTTTGAAACCTGCTTACCGATGAAAGACCTCGGAAACTTACTCAAGACTACTTGTGTGTGTGTTTTTCCAGGCCCTGCTCACACATATATTTATCTTAGAATAAACTCTTTAAAGTGTTTAGAGAGTTTGGTTACTTCTGTCAACACCATCTACTAACCTAGCATTTATTGAAAACCCCTTTGGAACTTGGTTGATGAGATTGAACTGAGCCAATCACCAAACTTGGATCTCATCTAATGTCATCATAGGTGACTTCAGAGGCCACATGGGTGATCCTGGCCTCCATGTGCTTAACAGCATTAACTGAGCACCTATACCTGGGACCTCATGGCCTGAAACTTTCTGCCTTCCAGGTCTGAAGTGCAATAGACCAGCCTCTTAAACTCCGGATCTCGCTCCTGCTCCCTAAGCCATCGAGTCGATTAACCCACCTGCAGTCTCCAAATGCCCCTCTTTCCCTCCATTCTATGCTCTTAGCTCCATTTCCTTGTCTGTTTTGCACAGAGCCGCACAATATTAATCTTCAACTTGTCTCGACAGCCCCTTTAATATCCTCACCCTGTGTTTCACCAGGCAGCTCCCAACTTCGCATCAGTCGGCCTTCGCCCTTTCTCTTTTCCTGCTCCTGGGCTAGGGAAGGAAAGCACCAGGAGTTCACATCCTGACGGTCAGTTGGCCCTTCAGCACCACGGCAGTCCTTCTGTTCATCCTTGTCTTTATACTCACCCTCAGTAAGCTTTCTTCCATAATTTGCCCACATTATTCAAACTTGCCTCTTCCAAATGGAGTGGACTCTTCCCCCCACCCTGCCCCACAGACACACATCTCTCATACTTGAAATGTTTTTATATTTGGAACTGACAGTGGTGCATCAACAAAACGTGACATTCTGAGACAAACCCAATAAGAAGGTTGCTGGTTCAATGCCAGGGATTTCTCTGAGTACATGGAGTGCACATGGACTCGTGATTCAGCGTTAGCTGGGCCTGGGGTGGATTGCAGCATCAGGATCACGTTGGGAGTGCTGTCTCTCTGTCTCTGTCTTTGTTCTTTGTCTCTCACTCATGGAATAAATAAACTTTAAAAAAATGTATGTATTTTACACCTTCTGTAGTTGCACACAACAAAATTCAACTGGCAAACCCAAACGAAATAGATTTTGAGAGAAAGATTACAGAGCTCTCAGAACTTAGGGAAAAGCTAGGCAGAGAGGCCTTGGGAGGGACATAATCCAGAGAAACTCAGAACAGTTTGCTTTGAACAAATGCTCTTAGCTCCATTTCTGCCCCAGCCATTTCTCTTATCTCGCCTCTGAAATTTCTGTTTCCTGAAAGAGAATCCGATTGACTTCCCTCAGGTCACAAACACACTCTTCTTATTGGCACTTCTACCAGGACCTCATAGAAGGGAGAGATGAGCCCTAACCCCATCCCCGCTCCCCCAATTTAGGGACTATCGTAAAAAGGCAGAAGGATGTGA